CCGGATAAGTAGAGGTCACACGGACACAGAACAATGACAAAGGTCACGGCTGAATATCGATCGGCTTTGCTGGCCGCAGTGGAACAAACACAAGATCGACTGCGGGTGGAAGCACTGAGCTGCACAAATATATCCGTAGAATGCTTAAATTGAACTTAGAAAGCTCAATCGGGGCTCGTTGGAAAGGTTGTTTAATTACCTTTCGAGCGATATCACAATATTGACACAGCGAATAAAATTGCACAATTTTGCACGCGTGAGTAAATCCCACAGCTTCGATGAAAACAGAAAAACGGCTCAATAAAGAGACGTAAACAAAATACTTCCAGTGGAATGATATCACAAGATAGAGCTCACAAAACTGGATCGAATGAACGTAGACTCGACGATGTACGACGAGATTTCGCAGAAATATTTCGATTAAACCGAGAGCGTACAACTTGAGCGACCGCACGCCGTTCAAGTGTTCCATAGAACTGGAGCCCAATATTTGTCATCCTCAGTTCATTCCGAAGATGAGTGAATCCTATAGGTATTTATTGTGAGAAAACACGTTTGTAAATGTCCGGAGTAATATTTTGAATGTTCAAATTGGCCAAGATAGACATAACAACAACTAGAAAGGAATGTATAAACGAACTCTGACGATCAAACACGACAAATTCAATAGTTGAGAACATTACATTGAAAGTTTTTCGAAGAATGTTCCAAATCAGCATGACCGCACGATGGTATTCAGTATATCTTTGATTTTTGGGTTAGGAAACCTGATGAGCAATGATTTATCGTGTAAATGTGACATACTTTGCAGGGTACCAACTAAAAGATGCACTATGACGCAGTCGGAAGTTAAGGAAAGCGGGAGCGGAAACGGTAATGAATGGCGCCTTAGGTAGACGGCGTTATACCGGTAGACTTGCACCCATGTGTCGTCAAAGCGACTGTAGCCATCGGAATCAACAAAAATGAATAAGCAATCAATGATTTTTTACATGCACACAAAATCAAAACTCAACTTCTTCCTTGCAAGTGTTTGTAATCAAGAAAATGTTGAGATCCATTTGAACAGTTGGACCAGAATAACCAAAGAATTTTAATTCTATGCCAAATTACTTGCTTTTTATTCGATTTATTTCAAATTTACCAATTATCGTACCGGTTTTTCATAAACCTAAATTAGTTGCGTATTTAGGACATTGTTTGTCACATTGAGGTGTACATACAAACCCACCACATTAGTTTAATTAGTCTAGTAAAACGTGCAACATGAGACATTTTGTTTGCCGTAGTAGTTCTCATATGGATGTTACAAACAGGCTTTAAAAGTTGCTCTAGATTCACTGAAAATTCATATGTGCTTGATAAAATTCTTATACGAGAACCTCAAAACCAATTGAAGAATTGCGAAATGTGTCGTCTTGAAAACGTGATACTTTCTAGCACAGAAAATGTCGACGAACCAGAACACTGCTTGATTTTCATTGATGCATTTGATACATTATTTAATTGGGATGAACAGAATCCAGGTTAGGGCTGAGTGAATCCAGAAAAAGCTACAATGAACCTGAAAAGTCACTCATTGGTTTGCAATGACTGGGAAACGTTTTCCTTTCCACTGAACGAAGAGATCGAATCTGGTGTTGGTTTCTAGTTTGCTTTGTCCAAATGAAATATTCATGTTGGTTAGCAGCTGTTCCATTCTGGTTTTCTGCAAATTTATTTTTCATACTGCGCAAAATCCGTATCCAATAGTTTTATGCCTTTTTATTGAATAGTTAGGTGTGAATCAATTAAGCAAAAGACAATAGTGAAATTCTCTCCTTTCAGGTCTCTACGGATGCATCAATCAAGTAAATGGTTGGGTTTCGAATGCGCAAACTAATGTAGATCTCCAATAGGCATATCCGTCTTTCATTTTATGAACCTGTGTTTACCTCCAGCTGTGAAAAGAAGAGATCTTTCGTGTAAAATCGCTCTTACTGACGCTTTCCGTGCCTGGACTCTCTAAATTCGAGTTCTCCCTCTGCCGCCTAACTAATATGTTTGGTAGATGTTGGTGAACTCACAACTATTTATTCGGTGTTCCGGTTATCACAAAGGTTTAGAACGTGCACAAAGCTCCAATGCTCACTTACTTATTGTTTATCAAGGGTAAAGTCAGAGTCAAAGTTTTATTATGGGAATAACTTACAAGCTCGTTCTTCTTTTGCCCCCATAGGATATTTACACAGATGAATCGTTGCTCGCCGAAAAAGGAGCCACATAGAGTTCCGGATGGGAGATAATGGAGAATGTAGGCTACAGTGAATTTGCGTTTGCTCTTAGAGGTGTACGAATGTGAGGTGTGCCAGAGTTTCATCGAGTCTCTACTTGAAAGATTCAAAAGTGGGTGCACAAACAACATGAGATGGAAGGGTGTTCCAAGAACTGCATGCTCTGACTGCAAAAGACTCGCGTCGGCATTCCAGTCGACACTTTGGAATCAGTGGCTTGCAACGGTGTCCCCTTGGATGTACATTGTTTGATAACACGAGCAACGATCGCCACGGATGGTTTGGGTTCTGCAGTATTTGATACGTCGAAACCAAATCTCCCCGATTTCGACGTTACTGAGCAGAATATAGTCCCTATTTTGTAATGTAATCTCTCCTCATATGTCAGGTAATGCAATCCCTTGATGGTCTTAGTGATCATCCTGTGTGGACGCTCAAGCATCTTGCGACCACGTTGGAGCCATGGACTTCAAGCTTGGATGGCGTACTCTGTGTAGGGTCGAATGTATGCTGATAGCAAACTTGGGAATAGTGATGATTCAAATCGGCCAAAGACTCGCCGAAGTAAGCCGACATTCTTCACAGCAGCGGACGAAGCCTTAGCACAATTTATGGAGCAGCTTACATCCTCTTGGACAACAATACCTAAGTCCTTTTCACTGGAAGTGTGTGGTAGCTGCTGATCCCCGAGTAAGTACGAGAATTCTAGGAACGTTTGCAGTATTATACACTAATAATGTACTTATTGATTGGAATTACTCTGTGTATAGTCTTGTGTACACCGTTGATTCTAATGAATATTGCTATCAAAGGCTTCCCATTATTATGGGAAATCAAAAACATTGTGCAACAATTCGGTAAACAAGCATGGACTATATCCGTTTTTTTCAATTCCATCAAATATCTTTAAAACTTGATCCCGAAATAATTGATAAGAACAATTGTAACACACTATAAAAATTCATAATTGTTGTCAATTCATTCAAAATATAATTGTCAATTCCTTCTGACAGTCGACATCTCTACACTCCTTTGGCTAATTTGACGCTGAACGATGTAACCTACCGGAAAACTACCCCAAATCACACGAAATCCACTGAAGTCAACCACACGGCAGAACAAAAACAGGCGACTGAAAACCCCACAGAACGTGTCGCACTGTATGTGAATCGGTTAAAACCCCAAGGCATGTTTATGGCTCTGGCCGTACGTGATCCGGGTTCTTGCTCCACCTTACGTCGTGTTCATATATTTCATCAAGTCTGCCGACAATTCACACACGAGCTTGTTTTCTATCCCCGTTTGGTGCCGACCGATGACACTGTCACATCTTGGGTACAAGGTCGATGTGTATCGGGTGCAGTGCAACAGTTTCCCGTTCCACTGCCCAAATTATCCTGTCAACCCGATGGCAAATGGGTGATACGAGATTCTCAAGCGCTTGGTAACAATCTACTGACTGGATTTATCACACAAGAAGCAGAGATTTGGCAAGCCTCGTGTGTTTGTGACATTGGTTTCGGTATCGTCGGTGATACAACCTCAGGGAACCAGAGTTGTGAGAGTGAGTGAGCAATGACTATCTACACTGATAACATATATCCATACATGGAATATTTTATGGTTTAGTTCGCTATAGACTGTGGTTTGTTTGGTTTGACGTACTGTACTTAGGGAGCAGTATCATGAATCAGCTTACCTTAGGTTCGGGTATGCTAGGAGGAAATGCAGTAGATGCTGTGAGTTCTAGCTAATTCACAACATAAAGACAAATGTTTAGTTGATCTGTTGGGTTTATTCACTTTAGCCTCAAAGGTCCGTGATTGCCCAGAGTCCGATGAATCCTCCGTCTAGTTAGCCACCCAGAGGTTTTCAGTGAGATACCAAGAAAGAAAATCGCTGGTGCTGGTGGTGGTGTGGAAGGCGTAGAGCCAATGTGCGAAAATACTAGTTTGTGTAAACTGTTTGTTGACATGTAGGCGAGGGAAGGGTAGGGCATAAAACTTGAGCTTTTTGAGACCTTTGAAAATATTATTAGCGCATTTAGATGAAGTGAGGGAAGGTTTAACCAAAACGCCCATGCATTTACGTGAGATGCTTTTGCTAAGTATTGAATCATGGCTGACATGTTCAAAGAACTATAGATTACAGTTTACTTTTATAAACAGCTTTTTATAATTTTTTCAATATTTTGTTGTCGTCGAGAGTATAAGTTTATTCACGTATTTTTGAGGGTTGCATTTGACGTTAGAGAAGCAGCGCTCAAGTAAACGCTTTTACTAAATATCTACAAATCAGTCGCATTGATTTATTTGACTTTTATCTGGCAAATCACGGTTGGAATTCGCAAACACCGTCAGTCACTGTTATGTGTATTTTCTCCCACGGAATTGCGTGGTGAATGATGAAAACGATGAATTCAAGTATCCGGATACTTTGTAATGACCTACAAAGACCGTTATACAGCTGTTTCATTCTGTGAGGAACTCGTCAGCAGTACTCTTTGTAGGTCATCCCAAAGATTTCCATTGCATTTATACGCATCTAACTTGAATGGAATTATTGATATCCCATCTAAGATAATCAACAATGCCTGCTACCCGTGAAAAACCAAATGGGCTAATCCAAACATTTACNNNNGGGAACTTAAGGGATTGCCTTTGCATCCTTAGTCTAACAATTCATCCACACCTGAAGTCTCGTGATATAGTTCGAGCGAAACAGGAACTGTCGGAGGAGGGGGTGCTATTCTCGACCGTAAATGGTGGATTTCTAAAACGTGGAAGCTGGAACTTAAGAGGTATCCACAATATGAGGGCAACCCAGGGTAGCGTTTTGTGGTAGTCAAATAGTGAGGTCCTCGAAATGTATACCTGAGGTTCCTGAGTTCGATTCCCGCCACGCAGCCCACCTCCCTATTATCTGTATTTCCTCAGGCAGCCTTTGCATGATTGCGGACCCGTTCCTGAAAGTGTATTGTACATTTCGATAACAAATAAACGTAAAGAGAATGAACATAAACGGAAGAAAACACACAATATGCCAAAAGAGGTTGAGGCACTAGTTGCTCTCTTCAGTGCAAGATGATAACAATAGAACTGCACTGCCAAGGCTGAAGGCTGTCACAAGGGAAAACCTCATGAAGATGCATCGAGGATTGTCGCGTACACGGAGCGAG